TCTATAAAGCCCTGACTAGTTAGAGCTCTACTTATCTTTTTGAGTAATGCCACACATCTGTGATCAGCAGAGGCATTTAAGCAAGCAGTTTCCTGATTTAACAGTGAAACACAGGCCAGTGAATTTTCCTTGTGGTCTCCTTAGTACTAGAACTTTAACTTGACCTAATAAACACCTGTTACACTTTCAAACTCATTGACAGGGATCCTGGTTTTCTCTGATTTAGAAAAAAAATCCCCAATTTTCAGTTAAAAATCCACATTCTCCCCCCCCAACCCCATACCTATAGTGATATGTATGATATACATATACAGAGAGGGAGTGATGTTTCCTTTTAATCATTTAAAAATGTGGATTTAGGGTTACTTTTTTAAACTGAAAATTGGGAATTTTTTTTTTTAAAGCAGAGAAAACCAGGATTCCTACTCATCTATTTCCCAGGGCTTTTGCTGAGTGACTGCCTGAAGGTCATCATATCATAGAGGATAATTTCCAGAAAAATCATTGGCTTAGATGCTGGCCCACACTGCAACTTCTTTGGATTACTGGAAAAACCAAAAAAGCAGGAAATTTGACTAAAATTGACAACTTTCCTTATTCAGTAGATTCATTGGCCAATACAAAGCCAGTGCAGCAGGATGTACACTATCTGCCCCATGGCACTAGTGCCCCATGGAACTAGTGAGATAGTAGCTGAAATAAAAAGATATTGGAGCAGGGAGTGGGCATGGTTAAAGTCCTCCAGCAAGCCAAAAATAGCAGAAGAGTCTCAGAAAGGAAATACAGCTAGTGCAGGTTATGACAGTTTTCAAGTTTTAAACTGCACCATAAAGTGAATCAGCCCTGCTAACAAATGGACTGCAAAGCTATATTCTTCTGCATGTTCTTAGGCACCTTTAAGGATGGAACACATTGACTGCATCCAGACATGTGCGGACATTGGTTCCCCAAGAACAACTAGTGTCAGCGCACCTTGTGCCGCTACTAGTTGTCCTCAGGGAACCCCCGGTGCCACGTGCATGCCCATGCATGGCAGGTTACTCAGGATGGGATAGGGGACGCTGCAGCTAGGGCTGGACTGACCCCAGAAGCCTTACTGTAGGTTCTGGGGGCCTTCTGGGGGTGCAGCAGTAGCCACCCTACTACATGGAGCCTGGATGGCAGTGGAGTGTGGCTCTGGCTGGCCAGGCTCTGGTTTCAGGCAGCGCACACTGCTGAGGTGTGCATCACTCCACCTTTTTTCTCTGCACTGCTCCCTTGAAGTGCAGATGACAACCCAATGCTGGTGCTGGCCCCAGCTGGTAGTGGCAGCCTGCATTCATTTCACATGCAGATCCAGGGGCCTGCATCCCCCACCCCCAGGAAAAGTCTGGTACAGCCCTGCAGCCCTCCTGGGAGGCACAGGCCCCCAGATCTATGCATGGGATGATAGCATCCTGCTGTTCCCAGCTGGGGCCAGCAGCAGAACCAGTCTTCCCAGCACTTGGCATGGGCTGTGCCAAGTGCCAGTCCCAGCCAGCAGCAGCAGTCTGTTGTCATCCTGTGTGCAGATCCAGGGGTTCTTGCCCCCCAGGATGAGTCTGACACAGTTCTGCAGCCCTCCCAGGGCACATGGGCCCCCAGATCTGCATGCAGGTTGATGGCATGCTGTAGCTGCCAGCAAGTGATACCAGTTTTGCTTTGAACAGTTTGAGGTGCAGTTTCACAAAAAAATCCTGCACCTATCTGCTTGAAACTTGTCAGGCTTCATGCCCTAAGAAGGGGCTGCCATCCTAGCAATTTTCATCTGAATCACCCAAAAAATGACAAGGTTATAGATATTTTAGTGATTCCCCATTATAGTCTACGGCTGAATCTCTGAAACAGCGTCAAAATTCTGAAACAGTTTTGTCCGAATTGAATTGGGACAGTGATATGAAACACTGAATCAAATCACTTTCCCTCCAAAATGGCTGAATGCAAATCGCAACAAAGCCATTTCACATAGCCCTAATAGCTACAGATAGAAAATGATAAAGAGAAACCAAGCAATTAATTTTTTTCTTAAAGGTAGCGCACAGTTTTTAGGAAGAAGAATATTAAAGACACACATGCAACATTTCTGCTACACAGTTAGCACCATTAAAAGTTATAGAATGTAATTGAGAATCAGAGCCTCAAATGATGGAAGTCAACTTCTGTCCATTATTTTCAGTAGAGAGACACTGATTTCTACTCACTGCAATTTTATCTCTAATCTATCAGTGCCTGGTATAGTCTCACTATTAAGAACCTGCTGCTTAGAAAGGCTGCACTGAATTAAAATAATTGCCCAATTAAGGTAGTCCTCAGATATGATTTCAAAGCATGAAATGGGTATGTAAGAACATAAAAATGTAAGAGTTAAAAAGGCTGTAGAGGGGACCAAGCAAACTATGGGCTGGTGAGTTTCGTGTTCCTACAAAATTGGTAGGGCACGCCCTGATCAGTGCACAAGTGCAGTTTATGGCGCATGTGTACCTATTCCCCATGCTGCTAATTTGTAGTGCAATGGGAGGTTTTTGATACCAAGCGATCCCGGTGTGGAAAAAAGATGCCTCTAGGAAAAGCAGCAGGGTGCATGTGGCAGCTGTGTGTGCCACTAGAAACAGCCTGGCAGTCCCAAGCCATGCTCTAGCTGTTGGTCAGGCTCTGAGCGACCGACTCAGCACTGTCTCCGCCCTGGCCCCCAGAAGCCCAGGTAAGGCTGCTGGCGCCAACAGAGGTGCTAAGCCCCAGCTTCCCCCACCCCACCTTGGTCAATTTGCCACATGCCAGAGCACACATGTAGGGGTGTGCCCTGGGATAAATAGCAGTGGCACAAATATGTACCAGTTCTATTTGTCGTGTGGGAAATGTGCACCCCTGCGCATGCACACCCATCAGCATGCACCCGTAGAAACAAAAATTTTAAAAACGAATTGTTCAGCAAAGGGACCTACTAGAGTTCTTTGAGGGTGTCAATAAGCAGGTGGATCAGGGTGATCCATTTGACATAGTATATCTGGACTTCCAAAAAGCCTTTTACAAGGTCCCCCATCAGAGGCTCTTAAGAAAGTTAGGTAGTCATGCAAATACAGAGAGCATCCACTCAGCTAATGGCCATCACAATATAGGTATAGTTTAGGTTATTTTTGCACTTATTTACATTGAATTTCATTTGCCATTTAGTTGCCCATTCACTCAATAGTGCCAGAGCCTTCTGGAGTTCCTCAGAGTCTCAGTCTTTACCACTTTAAATTCCTCACAGTCTCTCGCAATCTTCACCATTTTGAATAATTTTGTATCGTCTGCAAATCTGGCTACCTTGCTACTCACTCCTTCTTCCATATTGTTTACAAAGATGTTAAAAAGTGCTGCTCTCAACACAGATTCCTGTGGGATCCCACTGTTTACTTCTTTCCATCTCAAAAACTGACCATTTATGCTCATTCTTTCTTTTCTATTTTTAAGCCAATTTCTAATCTCTCTTACTACACTCAAAAGAGAATTGGGAGTTGCTATGAACAGTTTGCTAAAAGCATCAGCTCAGTACTCAGCAGCTATTGAAAAGGCAAACAAAATGTTAGGAATTATAAGGGAATTGTAAGCAAAACATGAAGTATCATTATGCCCCTTTATAAACCCATGGTGTAGCCACGCTTTGAACACTGTACCCAGTTTTGGTGCCCACACCTCAAAAAAGGAGGTACAGCAACTCGATCAGATACAGAGAAGGACAACAAGGATTTTCAGTGATATGGAGGCTAGGCCTGTTCAGTTTAGGGGACCATGATAAGGGTTTATAAAATATTAAATGGTGAAGAGAAAGTAAATAGGGATTTATTATTTACTATTTCTCACAATGTAAGAACTAAAGGTCATAAAATGGAAGTAGCAGGTAGTAAGTTTAAAACCAACAAAAGGAAGATCTTTTTCACAGAGTGTGTAAAATGTGGAACTCATTGCCACCAGATGTTGTGGAAGTTGATAGTTTATTCAGATTCAAAAAAGGGATTGGATGAATTCTTGGAGGAAATTCTAGATCAATAGAACCTCCTACATTAGTAGCTATTGATCATGGGAGTTAGGGATACAGCCTCTGAATCAGAATTTCCTAGACCCTTAATGCTGGACAAGTTGGAGATAAGCAGTGGATAAAACCCTTGTCTTACACTGTTCATTCTCCCTTCAGCATCTACTTTCTGGACCATGTGACACAGGAACTACCATCTGAATCAGTCTTAGGTTCTTATAAGTTAGCATACTGGGTCAGGCCACAGATCCATTTAGCTCACTATCCTGTGGGCATGGACAAATATCCATTTGGAATGGTGTCAGAAGTGGAGGGGGAGCTACTGGTCAGGAATGGGCAGTCACTGTTAAATTGTAACGATTGTGTGTGCACAAGCCTAGAGTAAATATTCAAAATGGGTCCAACTTTGACCAACAAAAGGAGCCACTGGAGATGACAACGAAATGCCTTCCCACAGGATTATGTGCTAATACTGATCCTTTTAAACATATATATGAATGACCAACCCATACAGAGTAATATGAGGAACTTCATGTATGCTGATGATCCAAGCATCACATTGCAAGAGAAGGACTTTGCTACTGATGAGAACAGATTGACATATGCACTGAGCAGTCTCGCAGATTACTGTAGTATGAACCAGCTTCGCGCTAACCTAAACAGGTAACAACTTTTCACTTATTCCATAGAGAAGCCAAGCAGAAATTAAACATAATCTGGAATGGAATCCCACTAACTAATCACCCGAACCATGTACTTGGGGGTTACACTGGGCTGAACACTTACCTTCAAAGTACATGTAGAGAAGATGAAAGGGAAAGTCAGCACCTATAAAGAGGTACTTGGAAAATTGATCACCTCAAAGTGAAACCAGCTACAGTATGAACCACTGCTACTACCTTGTGTTATTCCACTGCAAAGTATGCATGTCCAGTATGGGAATGATCAGTTCATGTCAAGAAAACAGATCAAGTTCTAAATAACAGCTGTTGTGAAGTAACAGGATGTCTAAAGCCAACACCAAAGGATAGCCTGTACTTACTGGCTGGCATTGCACCACCTGCTGTCAGAAGAAAGGTAGAGAGCTAAAAAGAAATATCTATCATTGCATCTACTCCATGGTCACACAGAAGTAACTAAACACATTAAAACGCTAAAGAGCGTTGTGACCAGTGTTGAGCTGTTGAACACAGTGGCTGATGTGGCACAACTGCGGTTATGGAAGGAAAGATTATGTGCAATCAGGAGCCCTGAAATAGACCTGGAGCCCTAGGAGGACCTTGCAAGAGGGGCGGATCTAGACTGGCCAACATGGTGATGCCTGATCCTCCTGCACATGCAAACTTGAAGATCAAAAACAAATATGACGAAATGGGTCTATTTTAATGACACAAACTTTTGTGAGTGTGGTGAAGTGCAGACTAAGAAACACATGCTTATTTGCTGACTCCTTGATGAGACCTATATGAAGGAATACCTTGCTACAACTATGGAAACAGCAACTTCTCATGCAAGATTCTGGAAAAACATCTAGTTCATGACAAGGACACAAGAAGAAGAAGAAACCTGGGTGAAGAGGGGTTAAATTGGAGCTATTCTGGTACATTTGTATCACTCCCCAACTCATGCACAACTATTGAAACTGCTCCTTTTGTCCATATCCTGCATCTCTCATTGACACAGAGCAGATGATAAGGGGAAGAGAATTTATTCAGTGCCTCTCTAGGCTGAAACTATCCCCTGCTCCTTTCTTTTTCAGCATCTAGCATTTAGAGGCCTAGAAAATCTTAATTTGGAACCTGCAGTGGTACTAGTAAGTCAACCACTGACATACCTGCCCTACACAAATCTCTCATTCCGTTTTGAAGCTGGTAAAACTGTTGGCCTCTACAACACCTTGTGACAGTGAGTTCCACAAGTTAATTATACACTGTGGCTAGGTACAGATAGTCTGTCTAAGTTACACAGTTTTCTGTAAGCAGCCTAGTTTAGAGGAGTGTGAAAAAGAACCTTATGCTTTTTAAACCTGTTGCTTAATCATTTCATCATATACCCCCAAGTTCTAGCAGCATGTGGTTATTAAATATCAAAAACCTAATCACTTCCTCCACACAATTCATTATTTTATAGACCTCTTTCATGTGTCTCCTCAGTCATCCTTTCTCTTAGCTGAAACATCCTATCCTATTTAGCCTTTTCTGCTTAGGAAAAAGACTAAATACTCCTGATTATTCTTGATGCTCTTCTCTGTAACTCTTCTAGTCCTATTCTATGCTTCTGGAGGAAGAAGGACTAGAACTGCACTCAGGATTCAGCTTATGAGCATAGTATACAACATCTATTGAATTCAAATTATTTAATCATGGTATCTCAGTACATCAGCCTTTGTTCTTGAAAAGCTATCAACATTTTTCAAATTTGGATATATAACATGTTTAAGAGTTTTTTCTTTGAACCATTAAAATTTGGTTATTCAAAGCCAGGGATATAAAAAGATAAAGAAACTTAAACTTCTTACTCCCCTGAGATCCAGAATTAGGTTTAATCTACAATGATCATGTCACTTGTTTTTTTCTACAGATAAAACTTACCCAAAAACAAGTTCTACTCAAAGTACTGCAAGCAGGGAACTTGATGCTTTTTTTTTTTTAACTACAGTGCAATAATACTGAGGGAAGTCTCAAGTTGACTAAGAAGGAAGTAAGGTAGGGGTGAAAACTGATTTCATTCCATAATATGTAAGGTAACTCAGTTAACTCTGTGGCATCTTTCCCCTCTTAATTTACAGCTTGGACAAAATGCTGTATATAATAACAGAATCTTATGTCTCTTGTCAGGCCTGGGTCTCTGTCCTCTTCCTAGTGCAGAAAGTGGTTTTGGCTCTGTCTTCTGGGTGCACCTTCAGTTGCCAGTACCCACTAGCTAGATCAAGGGTGGAGAACTGTTGCGCTTTAACCAGGACATCTAGTGTGTCATCAATATGAGGTAAGGGATAGAAATCCTTTATGGTCATATTATGCAGTGATAATCCAGAAAGACCCTCAAATCTCCCCACTTCTGCATTAACACCACAGGAGCAGTCCATGTGCTGACCAAGGAC